GCTACAGAAGGAGAAAGGAGAGAGACTTTGGGAACGATGGGATCGTTATACGTCAAGAGACTAGAGACTGATAGCTCTGTGATGCAGAGGGACCGCTACGAATTTGTTTGAATGGAACATGCACCTGTGTAATATGTAATATGTGTAAGTAAAACAAGCCGTTGTGTATTTTGGAATATGTGAACATATGTGAATGTGTTGGTTTCCCTTGCCCTCTTTAGTTCTGTATGTAAAATAAGATGAAAATCAATAAAGAGAAAGTGTTAAAAAAAAGACCTCCTTCATGAATGAATTTCAAAATGTGTTAAGCTACCAGGTGTCGTAAAAATCTTCTGCCATTCACCTCATTTGTCCCGTCGGACACAGTGAAGGAGAACTGGTCAGCGTGTTTCTCTTCTTCACTGGTGTGGACGTACTGGATGCTGCGTGATGCCAGGTCAGCCTGTGTGAAGGTGCTGATCCTGGTGCCTAAAGAGACAAAAGGGAGAAAAGTAGTCGTTAAGCCCAAAAACGTCCATTATGTTTGTTATTTCATCTTTTGGTTTTACACTGCTAAAAAAATAGGTTATGCTTGATGATCACAGCATAACACAAAGTTGTTTATACTTAAATCTGTCCAATTAAGAAGCAGAAGCCACTGTGAGTCTATTTCAACCTCGTTAGTTTAATATTAAAGCAACAGCAGGTGCAAAACTACAAAACTCGGAAACAGGGACTGGCTTGGCAGACCGTAGTTCTCTCCTGATCCCTCCTGACTGATTTTTGTCTACCTTTGATTTTCTTTGTGTTTATTCTGGTGTCCATTCCACCAACTCTGGTGGTCTCGGGCAAATGCCAGTTCAAAAAAGTGAGAAACTTCAGAGATGAATTCTTCTGCTTATGTTTCCTTGTGTCGTCTCATCCTTCATATTTTGTTGTGACATGTGTTTGTGAGCCACCATGGCATTTTCTGACCACACACTGAGTTTGTTTCCTCAATTTGGCTCTTTATCAAATTTACACGGGGATAAAACTAAACTGAGACTGAAGTCAAACTGAAATAATAATGCTTCTCTTTACTCTGTGTTGCCTTTGAAGATTAAAACCCAGTGGGAAACATAATCAGGTTTGTCTGCAACAACCCAGCATCACTCAGCGTGAAATTAAAGGTGACTGTCTTAAAAACAAGAACAGAGTATTTTTTGCTTCCCAGGAGTTCTGTTATCCTCGCTTATTGTGGATGCAAAGACCTGATGCAGCCATTCGTAAGACAAACGCATTTATGGTTATTCCTGCCATACAAAGTGTGCAACAGACACATTACATAGTTATCTATGATGTGCATTAATGAAGAAAAGGACAGAACTTCTTCTGAATTTCCATTTTCATTGATTTCCAGCTGTGATATTTTATTTTCCAACATTTTCACATCGGACAGTTTAAACAAATCCATAATAATATCACATAAATTGCGATATTAAATAAAACAAGGAGTCAAACAGAAAAACAAACAAACAAGAAAATGGTTTTAAATCCTGATTTGTATCAGCTTCCAGTTAACTGGTAGCTGATACAAATCAGGCGCTGAATTAGAAACATTATCCTACCAGCTTCAAGAAAAAGAAGGTATTACTGAGGAGAAAGAATGGGCTCTCCAAGACAAAAAGAATCAGGAGCTCCAAGAAAAGCTTGATGAAGCTCTGGAAAAAAATTAAAGAAATCCACCAAGACAAGAAAGAACAGCCCATAGAGCAAAGAGACATGCAGAGCAAACTCCAAGGCATGGAGGAAAAATACAAAGCGCTGCAGGTAAAGCATAAGAAAACTCTGCACAAAAATCAACAGTTGCTTCAAGACAAGAAGCAAACGGAAATGAAACAGAAACAAATGGATTCCAAGCTTGAAGAGATGGAGGAAAAACACAGATTGCTCCAAATAAAGCTCGATAAAACAGTGCACAGAAATAAAGAGTTGCTTCAAGAAAAAGACCAACAGAAAATACAACAGGAAGAAGAAAAACTTATTCTCCAGAAGAAAAACACTCCAAGAATTGTATAACGAAGTACAAAACAACTGTACTGGAAGGAGAAAAGAAAAAAGTGCTCAGAGATGCAGCATCGCATCAATGAAATGCTGAGAACACAGAACTTGAGAAACTTTCCAACAACTTGAAGTACAAAAACACTGAAATCCAGGCGCAAAAACAACAACAAGAGAAAACACACGAAGACCTGCAGCGTAGACTTCAAGAAATCCAGAAGAGAAACCAGCATTGAGAAGACATGCACAAGAAAGCAGAACAGAGAAATACAGATATGCACAAAGCAAAGCGAATAGAGGAGGCAACAGTTACAGAACTGAAAGACAAGCTTGAAGGAAAACAAGAAGAATTAGAAGACATGGTGAAACAACAAACTTGAGAAAGAAAACGCAGAAACAGTTGATGAGCTGAAAACTCTCATCCTTGAGAAAAAACTGCTTGTTGTCTGAAAAAGAAGGAAAAACGCTTCCGCTGGTTCTGGAGGAGGGACACTGCTGCTCCCACCTGATGTAACCTCGTTTTCTTCCACCTCTATTCCA